CACGCCACCCCCCTTGCGGCTAAGTCCCGGGGTTCGCTCCTTACGCGAGACCGCCGCCTGCCAGGGCGTTGCAGGCCGCAGGGCGGCCCGGGCGGGGCTCTGCGCCACATTGCTGCCAGTGGGGCTACTCCCTTTCCTCGTTTTCGCCCGAGAGCCGGGTCACAGACCCTTACCTAAGAGCAGGGGTGAGGGTGATGTCCTTGCGGTTCTCAGCAGCCTTCACTGCGTGCCTGCATTGTCCATACCGCGCGCAAGCTCCCTCCGTCTCTGCCACCGGACTTTATTAGCTGATGCAGTCCTGTCTGGGGATTTGGTCGCTTAAATGTATCCTTTTTGCAGAATTGGGCGAGCGTAGAATTACAAAGAAAAAGTTCTGTAACTAAGCCATTTAACCAAGGAGCTAGAAAACTAGCTATGTGTTTAAACCTACCATAATTTTTGTTGCAAACTGGCATGCATATATATGTATATATGAATTCAGTTATAGAGAGTTTCTTAACTGCATTTAATGCCCCTGTTCTATTCAGAAGCAGCACAGACGATGCTAGTCCCAGTTATTTTTTGGTGCATTAAAAATGCAAAAAATACCAGCTCTCTAAGACTAAAACAGGCTTGAAATGAATCATTAGATGTATAGATGGTATTTATTCTGATGTGTACCTTGATAAATTTGTGAAGAGGAAGAAACTCCACTGTTTAGCTCTGAATGATACGTCGTGAAAATTAGTGATTAACCAACTCTTACAGCTGCTTATATTTTCCTACCATACTGCTTCTAAGTAGGAATCAAGATTAGTAGCCTTCTAAGAAGCACTGACATTGTGAATCTTTTATTTTATTTTTTTTTCTACGAATAGGAAAAATTTATTGAGTTTAGCTTCTGTCTAAGAGAGACAGAATGGGGACCGGAAAGTGTGTTGCCTTCTCACATAAAGCCATGTGATGAGCCAGGTACAAAGTGGGACAAAACTGTAAGACCCAACGGAAAATTATGAGGTGGGACAAAACCATGTCCAACCAATAAGATCACAAGTACAGTCACCCAGGTAATATTGATTAATTGGGGGGCAAGTCACATAGCAAGTTTCAAGGATTTTCAGTAAGGGTAGGGGGGTCAGGGATCTTTCCTGGAAAGGCTAGGTTAAGACCCTGCCCGCCCCCCAGGTGATTGAAACCTACTTAGAATATCAATCACTGCTTATTTATCCTCAGGGAAAACACAAAGCTATAGCAGTTTCTCTCCTTTTACAATTCTGGCCTTCAGTGATTGTGTCTTGATTGTCCTCCATGTTGGCTGCTCGAGGGCGTCCCTGTCTTAACTGTCCACAAGATATCTAATTAACTTACCTATCTGCGACATTACCCCTTCTGAAGAAATACCCCTAACTGCTGTGAGGGGGCAAAAGGCGAAGACAGCTCTGGCTACTTCCAGCTGAAGAGGGTCGTAGTTGTGATCAGCAGTTAGAATTACTCTACAGAGGGTCTATCTAAAGGCCTTCGATAGGCCCCAGTCATTGTCATCTTGGTAGTTGCATAGCTTTTAAGTCTGGAGGAGACAAAGCCAAAGAAACAGTTAAGAATGCATGGGCCAAATTATAAAGTCAGCAGGATTGCTTATAAATATAGCCCACAAAGAGGATGAGGAGTAATGTCCAGGGGACTTCAGAATCCAACATAGAAGTTGTATAAATAGTTTAGCAGTTATGAGCTCTTTATAAGGTTGATCTGGTGGATCCCAGTAAAAAAAGTCTAGCCTGTTTGTCATTGGTTGCATTTGTATGTCCGCTAGAGTTTGGCAGCCTCTAGGCAAGAATAAACAAAACTTGTAAAAATTAGAGTATGCATAATCTACTAGATTATGAGCACACTAGAATGAAAGGGTAGGTTGGGGAAAAAGTCACACTTAGAAATTGATATAGTGGTTGAACCTGCTGATCTTAGAAATCAAAAATTGATTTTTGAGATCGATTTCAGAATGTGCACAAACTTCAGAAAAGCCTCAGAATATTAATTGAACAGAACTTTATTAGCCTCAGTATTGTCAGAACAACAATAACAGAAAAGCCCTTAATTGACCAGTTGTGTAGAATCAGTCACAATATTTTGGGTATTATTGGTCCTTTTAAAAATCTGGTGACGGCTGTGGCCTCTGCAAGAACATTTGCACAGTACAATTTCATTGGTTCACAAACCTATCCTTCCAGTCTGTCACTCGAAGAACCACAGGAAGAAGAAAAGATCAAAGAGAAAGAGAGACAGAGAAGTTTAAATTATTAAGATTTGGGGTAGAACGATTGAATTATTTAGATTGTGGTAGAATTAAGTAAAACTGTGGTAAATTGTATGGTGAATGCTCAGTCACATGATTCCTAATAAGGAAAGCTACTCAGTGAATTGTCCAGAGAATAGTGTAGCGTGAATAGCAGTGAAATTTGGGGTGGAGAAGTTGTACAACCTAGGAGGTTGTAGGGAGAAGAAAGTGCTAGCCTGGCTAAGATGATAATCTTGAGAAGTTTTCCAGAATTTTGTATATTTCCAAAGTATGTGACCTACTATTAGCAGGTTGAGCTTTGGTTTGACATCCTTGTAGCTGTACATCACATCATCTTTTTTTTTTCAGCTTTAATTGAGTTTATTGGTACATTTTAGGGATACAGTACAGTTACATTCATTGTTGGATCTTGTACCTCTACATGACAAGTCTTGGTTCTCGTTTTTTCCCCTTCATCGCATCATCTTTTTGGTTTCATTTCCTAGAGGTGGATTGATGTTATAAAAAGTATTGAAAAAAGACTTTTTTTGTTGTTGCCAGACCATGATGGTGCACACCTGTACTCCCAGCACTCTGGAGGCTGAGGCAGTAGGATTGCTTCAGGTCAAGGCCAACTGCTAAGTACTACTTGCTACTTGCTATTAAGTTACTACTTGCTACAGCTACTTGCTACTAAGTAGCAAGACCCTGTCTTAAAAAAAAACGTCAACAATAACGGAAAACTCCCCCCCAATTTTGTTATTGTATGTATCATTTGGAGTTTATCAGGAAGGTGAAATAGATGAGAGATGGAACTTACAGGAGACAGAGTGAAAATGCTTTCTTCTTTTGTTTTTATTTTCAGACTTCAGATCTTTTTAGAGTAATGCCCAAATGAAAGGAAGTTATTAAAAACAACAACCACACATCCTCTATCTGATGCGGGACTGTCTTCCAAGTATGGATGGGAAAATGAAGTGAAGACAGTACAGTAACTAGTGAAAGGCCATTGTTCAAGCATGGCAGCTGGTGAATTTGTTCATGTCCTAGGTGGAAAATATTTTTTCTCTATGATTTTTCTGGAGTGGACTTGCTGTGGTGAAAACAGCTCTGTGTAGGGCCGCCTCATAAACTTGTAACTAACCTAGCTGTATCTGGATCAAGCTTCCTGAACGCTGTTCAGGTCCTCTGGCCAAAGTAAAAGGGTACACAGTACAAAGTAGGGAAATAAAGAACCTCCCCTAGGAGCCTTCAAAAGGGAGACCAGGAGCATGTGCAGCACATGGGGGTGATGGGGGTATGAGACTGGTGCAGAGGTGCCCACTCTCTGCCAGAAACCTAGAGTGCTCTTTTCATTTGTTGTTGTTGATAGCACCTGCATGCTGCTCATTCCAACTTTAATGTCCAACTTCTAAGCTACCTTCTGGGAACTCATGACTTGCTGTCTTCACCCAGATATTCCATAGATTGAAAAAAGTCTCTTAAGTTCTAAAACCTAAAGCCCTCCATTTTTTGCCACTCCCGATCTTGTACCTCACACTATAGTATAATTTATACTAGCGATTGCCAGCACTTAGGTGCCTATCTGAGCTTTTTTAATACTGGAGAGTGAACCCAGGCCCAACTCATTTGCTAGACCCCCTACCCTGAAACACATAAAACACACACACATGCACACGCACGCGCGCATACACACACACACACACACACACACACGAGCACATATAGATACCCATAATCAGCCACTGTTGTCATCATATCAATTAAAACAAAAATTGACTAGATCACTCCTCAAATTGAAAAATTTTAGGCAATTTTCTGATAGTTGTGGATAAAGTTCTTAGTAGACTACTTAGTTTGGCCTACAGGGCTGCTCAAGATTTGACCCTTGCCTTCCCTCCAGGCTCATTGCTCACCACTCTTTTTGCATTTTCCCTGTCTCCATTTTACAGGAACCTCTCTCCAGACAGAGTGGCCTTTCTCAGTTATACACCCTGGTTCCTATTGGAACCTCTGCTTGGAATGCCTTCTACTTAATCCAGCTGAAATTACTACTAATTCTTCAAGATTCTTTAGGGTTCAATCTTGCCCAGCCTAGGCAGACTAAGGTAGTCCCTATTCTTATACATACCTGGTCAGCATTACCACATTGTGTTGTAATGAGCTACTGGGGGCAGAAAGATGAATTTGGTCATTCTCTGCCTCCACCACACACACACTTGAAATGTTTGTTGAATGGATACATTTGCAGGGTCTTTATGACAGAAACATGAGTTCTTAAACATCTGCTTAAGTGCCTGCGTTATAGGAGCAGAAAGAGGCAATTGGGAGCATCACATTGGGTTCACATCCTCAGTATACCTGCCTCCTGCATTTCTTTTACTTTGGGAGCCTGCATTCTAAGATAAATTGATGTTTGGGATACAGTAACCTATAAAATATCCCTTTACTCCAGCTGGATGTTGGCTCCAAACCTCAGTGTAAGGTCAGTGAGGTAGCCTGAGCATGTGAAGAGTGCTGATACTTGGCAGCAGAGAACTTTAATCAGAATGACCTCGTGGCCTCCTAGAAAAGGAAAAAGTAAGAGCAGTCATGCAGCAGCAGCCCTGCAGATTGGAATCATTTTGCAAAGAGAGGACAAAAGCTAGAGTAAAAGTCTTTCCTCTCTAGCCATGTGGAAGCAACAGATATTGGGTATTAGGAGAAGCAGACTGTGCTTTAGCCCCAGTTGCCAGGGAACACTGAACCTAGGCTATTTCTCTTCAGGAACTAGGGGAATCCTGCGTTAGCCCAACTACATGTGCTGAGGCCTGATATAGAACCAGGGAGAATCATTGAGAAGGCTTTATTTCTAACCCCTTCCTTCTTCTCCCTCTCCAGGGCCAGAGTTTTAATGTACCTCTAAATCCAGAATCCCTGTTCTTTTTCACTCGAGCAATCATAATATGTTATTCCTGAAAAAAACAGTTTGTGAAAACACTAATCTCACCTTCAGTTTGGCTGTGTGGCTCCATTGCTCACATGATGTGAGCCTGTGTAGTATAATGAAAGGACTAATCAAATCAACATGTCCAGCTGGGTGTGGTGGCGCACGCCTGTAATCCCAGCACTTGGGAGGCTGAGGCAAAAGGATCACTGTGAGTTCGAGACCAGCTTGGGCTACACAGTTCCAGGTCAGTCTCAACTACACAGTGAGACCCTGTCTCAAAAAAACAAAAACAAAAACAAAACAAAACAAAACAAAAAAAAATCAACATGTCCAGTTGTTGAGCCAGTGATTGTTCCTTTATAGGATTGATGCAAATGTGTTGATTTTTTTTTTTCTTTCAGTACTGTGGGTTGAACCCAGGCCTTTGCATTGAGCTGCATCCCTAGGTCTTTTAAATTTTTATTTTATTTTTTCATTTTGAGACAGGGTCTAGTCAAGTTGCTCAGTTGCCAGGCTGGGCTTGAATTTGTGATCCTCCTGCCTCAGCCTCCCAGAGTATGGGGATTATAGGTTTGCATCACCATTTCTGGCTAACAAATGTATTCTAACTGTCTTGACCTTTTCATACATGTCTCATAATATCCAGGTACAACTATTGGGTGTTTATTTTCTTCTCTTCTACTGAACTGAGCTGAGTAGGAAAGAGTTGAGAAAGTGTTGTAAGGAAGCACAATGACGTAAGACCTGACTTCTTCAGCTTAATCATTTTTGTATCCAGCTAGCTGTTAAGGAATATTAAGAAAAAAAGCCTCTGGCATTTTTGATTGCTGACAGCAGCCAAACTACTTAACTTCATCAGAACTTCCTTTATTTTATATATCTCAAATAACATTAATGTAAAAGAATGATGTATTTTTAAGACAGGATCTCTTTAAGTTGCCCTATCCAGGCTTGAACTTGTGATCTTCCTGTATCAGCTTCAAATGCTGGGATTACAAGCATGCATCACACACCCAACTACAGGATTTTAAACCAGGGGTTTTCAGTCCTTGTTCCTTGGGCTCCTTAGGAGTAAAATACATGGAAAGAGGCATGGTAGTAAATAGCCTGCAGCTCTTCCACACTGGCATTTTCAGCCAGCCAAAATAGATCTGTTTATTTTTCATATTGGGTTTCTCTTTAAGCTTTTCTTTGAATAAAGGATTTTGTCTTATTATCAAGTAAGTTTGAAGACCATTGTCTTTAATCAGATTCTTGGAAAGAGGTACTTTGGAAGACATTAACATTTGGTTCAACTAATATTTGAGTGCTCACTCTGCTAAGCCCGGAGGAGACTGCAGTGAAGTAGATTTGTACACCATCCTTACCATGGTTTAGCAGGAAAGGCAGATGTTAAACAATAACTGCAAGTGGGATGAACTTTCTAAAAGATACAGAGTGTTAATGGTGACATACAGCAAGGGGCTGTACCTCGTCTCTAGGCAAGTGGTTTCCAAACCTGACTGGCGTTAGAATTTAGATGGCATGCCTAGTCTATGTCCCTGCTCAGGATTCCTTAGAGATTTTTACCTGCTCAGATGGAATCTCTAGTCATTCTAATTAGGGAGGGTAACAGAAGGTGTCAGGGAGATCTTTCTGATGAAATTAAAGATCATAAAAATGGGAATCATTAGATGATGATGGGGACCAGCGCAGCTTTGCAGGCTGAGGAGACACCATGCAGGAAGGCCTGAAGTAGAGAGAAAGTGGAGAGTATTCGGAGAATTAGTTGACTAAGCCGAGGAAAACGGTATCTAATACAGCATTCATCGTGCTGCTGTATATGGACAGCTCCTCTCAACTGTATGCTCCTTGGTGACAAAAACTGTATTTTGCTCTAGTACTTAGTAGTAAATCAATAAATATTTGATGATCAAGTGAATAAAGTCTCTAACTGTAGGAGCTTAGTTCAGAGTAGGAAGTAGAAAAGATTACTAATAATTATGAAGTAGGATATTGACTTAAGATCTTTTTAAAAAATCTTATGAACTCTTGATTTAAAAGAAGTTTTATGGAAAAACTGATACCAAACTGTTCTGATTTTATTTATATGGGAGTTGCTTATTAGTTAACCTCTCCCCATAACATTTGAAACTGTCCTCTACAAGTTTTACTTTTGTTATTCCCTCTGCCTGTTCATATTCTCTTGGCTCAATACCTGTTTTCAAAGACTGGTCCCTGGACTCTTTTTCTCTTTTGTCTCTTCTATAGTTAGGTGCTGACTTGGTCCTCCAAACATTTGGCAAATGCCTCTTTTGTAGCATATATTGAACGAGTGGCTTCAGGAAGTTTATAAAGGCCTTTTCTCTGGCTTTGCCAACCTACTTTAGTATCCTGACATTTCCTTCACACCTACAACTTGAAGTGAGAGGGATTGGGATCCAGAGCACATATCAAAGGATTGAACTTTGAAAACAATAGGGAAGGAAAGAAGGTGCAGATACAGATAGGGTATCGGGCTTCAGGTGTTCTGCTAATATTCACTTATCATAGAGATAAAAGGCCATGCTTTTAACTGAAAGAGGTGAAAGACAGGAGAGATAAAAATAGGTATGAAGCAGTTTTAGGATGCTAGGTGGAGAGTGTCACCTGGTGGCTTACCAGAGAAATATAGGAACATTAGGTGGCATTGTTTTGGTGAAAGTTGTTGATGATGACTGTAATGGCATCAGTGTGCCAGCGTCTGTGACCCACCCCCACCTTCACTAATGCTTAGCTGTTTTGAGTAGAGATTAGTATTGATTAGGGAAGCTTGCAAGAGGGACTTTTAAGGGCCAATTGTGTGGATAAAGAGAGAGAAGTCAATATAGATGGGGGGTAAAGTAGGTTATGGGATAAGTGTGTTTGAGGTTTTAAATAACCTGAACAGTCATTAGGCTGTGGAGATTCAGTGCACTTCAAGGACAGTTGCATTAAGTTAATGCTAGATGTGGGCAGTTTACTTCTCACTAAGCATGAGATCGGGGGGCACGTTTTCAATATAGACTTTTATTTTTTGGTACTGAGGATTAAACTTGGGACCTTGCACTTGTGAGACAGGCAGCGTAACCACTGAGCTGAACCCCTGGCCCATAATATAGACATTTTAACAAGGAGAGTTAAACTGCCTCTGATGGAATCTCAGCTGTCATCTCCTAGCTGTGTGATCTTCAGAAAGTTTCATAATCTCTCCGTAACTCAATTTCCTTATCTGGAAAGTGGGGATAAAAAGTGTAGCAATCTAGTAGCATTGTTTTGAGAATTAAATGAATTAATACAGTATTTGCAAAGCACATAGATAAATGATACTATATAGGAAGTACACATAAGTACTTATTAAATAAAAATAGTACCTTCCATATATATTTAATTTGATATCTAACTTTTCACATTATGCCATTCTGATGCCAAGCTACTATTTCCTTCTCCTCCTCCATTTATTACTGTTACCCTATAATTGAACTTTTATTAGGGCCGGGGATTTAGCTCAGTGGTTCCGCCACCTGCCTTGCAAGTGCGAGGACCGGAGTTTGATCCGAAGGAAGGAAGGAAGGAAGGAAGGAAGGAAGGAAGGGAGGGAGGGAG